TTTTAAGCACCTACATCTTAATCTTAATTTTTTTTCGTTACTTTATTATTACTATTTTTAATATTATTATTATATTATGATTCTTATCATAATTATTATTACTATTATTGTAATAATTATTATTACTATTTATTATACGTAATTAATTTTTACTTTTTTAATTATTATTCTTATTATGTCGCGATAATAATAATAATAATATATAGTGCGTTTTTTTTACAGGCAAAGCTTGAAAAATCGGGTTAATTTACAGAATGATATCGCAGTGAAAAATAAACGGAATTTTTTTTTTTTTTTTTTTTTTTTTTTTTTTTAAATTTGTTAATTGACCGCACTTTTGAGATCGCCCTTTTTTTCTAAAAAATAAGATTCATTTCATAATTTCCGTTTTCTTTTATATGCACGGCAAAAAATCCAGAGAATTACAAATTTTTTTTTTCTCATTCAACTTTTTGTCACTTTTTTTTTTATTTTTTGTGTCGAATTTAAAAATATTTTTTCCATTTTCTTAAATTGAAATTTTTAAAAAGATTGAAAATTGAGCATATAATTTTGATTTTTTTTCATTGGTGAAATTTGATACTCTCTGTTATTTTTTTTTTAAATATTATAATCGCTACTATAGCGTACGATTTTGTTTTTTTTCTCCTCATTCCGTATTAAAAAGCCGGAAATTTCTGCGGTGCCTGTCACGTATTTTCAGATTGACAAGAAGCCAATAAAAATTTTTGAAAATTAATTTACAATAAATGTTTAGAAAATTTACAATCTAAATAAATTTCTTTTACTCCACAAAAGAAAACGATGAGATCCGAAATAAAGAATTTATTTATTTTTTAATTTTTTTTTTTTTTGATTTAACTTGAGTATATTTAGAAAAAACTCTCAGTCTTTATATAATAGGAAAATTTTCCCCCTTCTTTTTTTTTAATATTAAAAAGAATTTTTTTTTTTGATCGTTTTTTTTTTTGATAATATCACATTTTTTGTCACAATTTTGAGAATAGAGTATTTTTTTTTTAACTTAATTTTTATAAATTTTTCTTCCTTTTTTGAAAATAAAAATTTTTTGTGCAGACCGTCAAAAAGTGAATAATATAAAGACAACCATTTTATCAGTCCCGTGAATCTGTTTATACGTGAATATATATAATATATACATTGTTTAAAGAAATAATGATTCCAAAATAAATCTTTTTTTTTTTTTGGAATCAATTGGTTTTTCTCATTTTCTATCCGTTGTATTGCGTTATTATTATTATTATTTTTAGTTTCATTTTTGGCGGCAGGCTGCGCTCAAAGTAACACCGTCGTTTTTACAGTCTAACGCTTAAAAAATAATTTTTTTTTTATTTACTTTTTTTAGTGGAAGTACAAAGTCTTTAGCGGGGGGGGGGGGGAAAATGGTGGAGAGCAAAAAAGAGGAAGTAGAAAAATTGGTCACTGGACGAGCCTGGGACGAGATGTTTATATCTTATAGAACTAATATTTACAATCAGAGGAAATTGCGATAAGAAAAAATGTTTCTTTATATGACGAAAAATTCATTTCTGCACAAGGTTTTTAATCTTCAAATATTGAGGTTTAAAAAACAAAAAAAAAACATTTATTTATCAAAATTTAACAAAAAAAAAAAATTTTTTTTAATTTTTAAAAAAATAAAAATTTGAATTTTAACTGGGGTACCAAAGTACCCCAGTGGTCTATCGACCACTGGGGTAATTTGCTACCCCAGTCAAATTTCAAAATTTAACTACTTACGACCATCTTTGACGAATTTTGAATTATAATTATAAATAAAATATTATATTTCGAATAAAGTAAAAATATTCACTGGATCTTTAAAAAAATGTTATGCAAAAATGAATTTTCCCAGTTTCGTTCAAGTACCAATAGAATAATATATATGTATAGTTTGCCTGAGAATACTGTTAAGTCTTATGTTAATATTTGTTTGTTTGTTTTTTTTAATCAAAATCGAAGTTTCGTTGATTTTCAATTTCCTTGAAAATTCCAAGTGCGTCCAGTTAAAGTTTGTGCACAAGTGATGAGCAAAGAGCAAGGCATTCCAGGCAAAAGGATCCTTTGGTTCTTCTTTTATTATATATGAATAAATCAAGTTTTATTTATATACATATATATGACGCGGTAAAAAGAAAGGCACCTTAAAAGTGACTCTATTTTTAGGTTATGTTTCTGTTAATTTTATAGTTTCATTTTAAAAAATTACAAACATAACCTAAAATTTTTGCGTTTTTAAGGTATCTTTCTTCGGAGCGCGTCACATATGAAGTACTTGCAGTCGTTTATATATATAATATATAATATATGATATATTATATTATATACTATATAACATATTATATTATATACTATATAACATATTATATATTATATATTATATATTATATATTATATGTTATATATTATATATTATATAATATTATATATTATAGATTGTAAAATATAATATATTATAAATATACAAGATTATAAATATATATATAGGAGAAGGAGCTATCGCTATAAATCAACATTCGATAAATATTTTGAAACGCTTACAATTATAAAAATGATTGCACTGAGAAGTAGATTTAAAAAAGTCAAGTATAAAAATAAATAAGTTAGACATTCTCTAAGTCAGCCTTTTACGTGATGTTAGAAAAGTTAAACGCATCAAAGAACGTTTTTTACACATTAATTTTCATTACTGTACGTATTTTTACTTTTTTTTTGTAAATTTTTTTTAACTATATAGAGAGAGTTCATCGAAGAAATAACTTCTTATTTCCCCCATCCATATTAATACGTATAAAAAATGAAATGTTCTATAGAAATATATAAAATAGACGACGCCCTACGAAGAAAGATTTTTTTTTTTAAACATTTTAAAGTGAAAATAAATTTTAAAGATAATTATAATTAATTAAAATTATTTAAATACTGATTAATTTTCTGTTATTCTTAGTTAGATTTTATAAAAAATGTTAAATAATTGATTTCTTTCGACTAGTTTTATGTAGATTCTAATTTAAATAAATGAATTCCTGAGAAATTTTTATTATTCATGAAAAGAATTGAAATCTTATCAAGATTTTTACAACAAATTTTTTAAATAATTGAATTCTGTTTAGAAATTTTATGAAAACAGTAGATATTGAAAGTCATTGAATTGCGAAAAGATTTTAAATATAATTAACTTTTACAAAGAATTCTATTAAAATTTTTGAAAATAATTGAATGTCTGTGTGGTATTTTATTGAATTTTTTTGAAAATAATTGAATTCATAAAAAGCATTTTATTATTTATGAAAATGATTGAATTCTTTGGAACGATTTTATTAGAATTTTTTAAAATAATTGAATTCTTGTGATGAACAGTTTGGTAATGAATATTGTTATTTATGAAAATAAATAAATTTTGCAAAGAATTTTTTTAAAATGCCTCAAAATAATTGAATTTTCGGGAATAATTATGTTATTTATTGAAATAATTGAATTCTTTCGAAGACTTAGAAAATTAAATTTTTTTTAAATAATCGGTTTTTTCGAAGAATTGAAATTAAATTTTTAAGAATAATTACAATTTTTGAACAATTCCTGTAAGATTGAATTAAAAATATTTGAAATTCTGCGATGAATTTTATTACAATTTTTAACCATAATTGAATTCTTGCGAAAGATATTATTAAAATTTTCTAAAATATTTGAATTCCTGAGAAGAATTTTATTATTTATGAAAATAATTTAATTATTGTGCAAAATTTTATTAAAATGATTTAAAAAAAATTTTAATTTCTGTGAAAAATTATTTTTATGTTTGAAAATAATTGAACTCTTGCGAACGATTTTATTAGAATTTTTTAAAATAATTGAGTTTCCAAAAAGAAATTCATTACTTTTAAAAATAACTGAATTCTTGTGATGAATATTGTTATTTATGAAAATAACTGAATTTTGCAAAGAATTTTTTCAAAATGCCTCAAAATAATTGAATTTTCGGGAAGAATTTTGTTATTTATCGAAATAATTGAATTCTTCGAAGAATTATTTATCTAAATAACTGAATTCTTAGCAAAAATTTTATTAAAATCTAAAAAAATAATTGAATTATTTCAAAAAAATTTAATAAAAATCGTATTTAAAATAATTTATTTCTTTAGAACAGTTTTATTAAAAATATTCGAAAATAATTGAATTTCTGTGAAAAATATTCTAATATGTTTGTAAATAATTGAATTCTTCCCAAAAATTTTAAATAATTCATTTTTTCGTGGAATTGAAAGTAAATTTTTAAAAATAATTACATTTTTCGAGCAATTCCTGTAAAATTGTATTAAAAATAATTGAAATCCAGCGAAAAATTTTATTATTTATGAAAATGATTGAATAGTTCCAAAGAATTTTATTAAAATTTCCAAAAATAATTGAATCCATGAGAAGAATTTTATTACTTATAAAAATAATTGAATTATTGCGAAAAATTTTATTAAAATGTTTAAAAAGAATTGAATTTCTATGCAAAATTTTGTTATTTTTGAAAATAATTGAATTTTACGATTATTTTAAAATAGTATTAACAATAATTGAAATTCTTCAATGAGTTTTATTATTTACGAAAATAATTGAATTCTGACATGAATTTTTATGAAAAATGTTATTATTAGTGAAAGTATTTGAATTATTGTGAAGAAGTGTATAATAATTTTGTTGAATAATTGATTTTTACGAAATTGTTTTGAAAATTTTTTTCTAAATTAATTGAATTTCTGTTAAAATGTTATTTGTTACGAAGTAATTGAATTTTAGATGAATTTTATTAATTTTTTTTTTAAATAATTGAATTATTTTGCGAAATTTTATGAAAAAACGAAACATTGAAAATAATTGAATTTCGAATATTTTTTAAAAATAATTGAATTTCAAATATTTTTTTAAAATAATTGAATTTCAAATATTTGAGACTATAATTTTTGAGAAGCTTTTTGATTTCTAGTATTAGCAAATTTAAAGTAGTGGAAATTCTAAAAAAAAAACAGAAATAGTATCTTTTAGTAGCTAAAATCTAAGAAAACCTTTTTTTGTAGAGCGTCACATATTTGTATATTATTATATCTATCAAGGAAAATTGTGCAAGCGACATTGGCGAAATATTATTATTAATGCCAAAAAGATTTATTTCATAAAAATTAAATTTTTCGCTCTTTGAAAACTTATGGAATAAATCTTTCTCGCTATCGTTGTAATATATATTTTTTTTCTTTTCTTAAAAGTTTCTAACTTTTCGTATTGGAAATAGACTTTAAAAGACTATTTTCATCAATGTAATAAATTATTATTATATATTTTCTTATGTACAAAGTCGCGTTTCAAAATTAACAACGCCTGTGCGCGCAGCCTTCCGCTCGTCCATTCTCGACGAGATATAATATATATAATATAAATTAGTGCTTGTATATACATATATATTCAAGTTATATTAATATTTTTTTATGCGATGTTGTGTACCTTAATTTGTAGAGTTTATTTTATAATGTTAGTATGTACAGGTACAGGTCTCGTATAGTTGCAGTCGTGTCGTCACTGATTTCTTTTTTTTTTTTTTTGGGCATGCCCAAAAAATGAATTTTTTTTTTGGCGGGTGCCGACTAAATCCGCCAAAATTTGAGAGGCTTTAATTCATAAAGCCGCGGTTTTTACTTTTCATTCTTCACTTCGTAAAGCCTTAATCACACTTTTTTATTTATTAAAGCCCTTTTCACACTCCTACTATATTTATTTCACACTCCTAGTAAAGCTTTTCTCACATGTCCATAAAGCTGTGTTTCACACTCCCTTTTTTTCTGGAAGAAATGAGGATATATTAATTTTCTTCCTTCATCTTGAATTCTCTTTCCTTCCTGGTAGGGATAACAACTGAAGAACAATTCAGTCTTTTTGTTTTTGGTACACAGTCTTCATTTTTTTTTCTTGACTGGAACACAATCATTTTCGAACGAATATTGTTTTTTGGAAAACATTTTTTTTTTCTTTTACAACCAAATGAGAAAATAAATCGCATTCAAAGTGTGTTTTTGTAATTTTTGTGAGTTTCATTCTCACCATTTTTTTGGAAGCACTTATAATTGCGATTTGTATTTCGAGTTGAATTCCATTTTTTAATTTTTTGTTTTATTTGTTTTTTTGGTTATGTGTGTTCCAGATTTTAAGTGCATTCGATAATGTGCGGTTGGGACGTTTCAATGACACTTGGACGTCCTACGGAATTTTCCAAATTGTGAAGTGACGTTGAGTGTGGTCCATGATTTCCATTGCGCCTTTCGTAACTTTCAATGTGTTCCAATTCACATTCCTTTGGAATTGCACCTGAAAAAGAAAATTTTTTGTTTTTCGTTTTCTTCGAAATATGTTCTAATTAAAATAAATAATATAGGGTCAAAAATTGTTAAGGCCCTGAAAAATTAATAGTCTTTATAGTTTTAATAAATTATTTTGCGTTTGAGGTAAAATTAGAATAAAAAAAAAATATTTCACGCGAGTCTCACGCGATTGGTCGGTGCGATTGGGGGAAACACAGCGCGGTGGGAACTACTTGCCCATGCGCAGCACTTCCCTTCTTCATTTTAATATAATACCAACTTTTTCCCCAATTTACAAAACAGAACTAACTTTTTGAATATCAATTGTAATAATTAAAAATTTTTGAATTAAATAATTTTAAATTTTATATAAAATAATCTTAAATTTTAAATAAAATAATTTTAAATTTACTCACCGACACTTATCTCTGGAGCGTATTCATAATAAGTGGGAGAACCAACAGCTGCTGCTAGCGCAAGTTCATCCTCAATGTTGTTTGGTCGACAACTCGTTGTTTTCCAATGCGTTCGAAGTCCACTTGCGCTGATATATTTCTTGTCACAACCTTGACATGTGTAGGGCCTCTCGTTCGTGTGAAGTCTTTTGTGAAGTTTCAAATGAACAAATTGGGTGAATTTCGCCGAACACAAATCACAAGCGTAGGGCTTCTGGCCCGAGTGCAGTCTCAAGTGTGTCTTTAAATTCGACGTTGAGCTAAACCTCTTTTTACAAATTTCACATTGATGCGGTTTCTCTCCTGTTGGAAAAAAATTAAATTTTATTTTTTTTATTTTTGATACGAGAGGAGAAATTTTTTATTTGTTTAAAGAGAATCTGATGTATAGAGGATGAGTTTGGCTTTAATTTATTAAAAAAATGTATTATATTTTAAATCCTTTTTCAATACAATTTAGTTTAAGTATTAATTTTTTTTAAATTATTAGTTCCATATGTAACCTCCTATTTTGACTTGATTTTTAGGAATCACAATAAGAAAATTTCAACAATAATATTTTTTCAAATAACTTAATTCTTGAACCACTTTAATAATATTATTACTCAGAAAATATTTAATGACTAATTTTATTTAAATATTTCAAAATTAATTAAATTTTTAAAAAAATTTCCTTTACAATTTTTATAGATAGATGAACTTTAAAAGGTTTTCATTTTAAATTTTGGAAAATTTCAATTTTTATTAAATTTAATTAAACATTTTAAAGAACTTAGATTTTTGAAAAATTTAAATAATTCAAATTCTTCTGATATTAGTTACATTTTTTAATATATTTAATTAATATTGTTAAAAATAATGGATTTATAGAAGAATTTTATGTTAAAAACACTAAAAAAAAATTGAATTTTGGAGAAGTTAGAAATAATTGCATTTTAATTATTTCCAGAACTAATAAAATTCTTTACAAAAATTCAATTATGTTTAAAATTCTTTTAAAAATTCTTTTCAAAATTTCAATTATCTTTGAAAAAAATACAATTTTTTCCAAAATTCAATTATTTTCGAAATTTTTCTCAATTCAATGATTTTTAATATTTACTATTTTAATAAAAGTTTCGAAAAGAATTGAATTATTTAAAAAAAACCGAGTGATAAAATCATTATTTTATATTATAAGATTTTATAAAAAAAGTTTTTTAAATTATTTTTTATGCAAATAATTGAACTATTGGAAAGAAATTTATAAAACATTAGTAAGTAATTTAATTTTGCAGAAGAATTTTCATATTTACAAAGATAATTGAAATTTTGACAAGAATTTTATTAAATTTCTTTGCAAATAATTGAATTTCAGAGAAGAATTTTATTATTTACAAAAGATAATTGAAATTTTGAACAGATTTTTTTCTAAAAATGTTTAAAAGTAATTGAATTTGGCAGAAGAATTTTGATATTTATAAACATAATTGAACTTTTGAGAATTTAAAAAAAAATTTTTAAATAATTGAATTTCTGTGAAGAATTTTCTTACTTTTGAAGATAATTGAATTTTGCAAAGAATATTATCAGAACTTTTGAAAATAAATAAATTTCCATGATGAATTTTATTATTTATGAAGATAATTAAAATTTTAACGAGAAATTTTAAAAAAATTTTGAAAATAATTGAATTTCAGAGAAGAATTTTATTACATTTGAAAATAATTGAATTTCTAAGATGAATTTTATTATTTCTACAGATAATTGAAATTTTGACAAGAATTTTATTAAAATTTTAGCAAATAAATGAATTGCAGAGAAGAATTTTATTATTTATAAAGATAATTTAAATTTTGAACAGATTTTTTTAAAATTGTTTAAAAGTAATTGAATTTTGAAGAAGAAGAATTTTGATATTTATAAATATAATTGAAATTTTAAGAAGAATTTAAAAAACAATTTTGAAAGTAATTTAATTTCTGCCAAGAAATTTATTACTTTTGAAAATAATTGAATTTCTACAAAGAATTTTATTACTTTTGAAAATAATTGAATTTCTAGGATGAATTTTATTATTCACAAAGATAATTGAAATTTTGAATAGATTTTTTTCTAAAAATTTTTAAAAGTAATTGAATTTTGCAGAAGAATTTTAATATTTATAAACATAATTGAAATTTTGAGAAGAATTTAAAAAAAAATTTTGAAAATAATTGAATTTCTGGAATTTTTTTACTTTTGAAGATAATTGAATTTTGCAAAGATTTTTTTCAGAACTTTTGAAAATAATTAAATTTTTATGATAAATTTTATTATTTATAAAATTTTGATGAAAAATTTAAAAAAAATTTTGAATTTAATTGAATTTCTGCAAAGAATTTTATTACTTTTGAAAATAATTGAATTTCAGAGAAGAATTTTATTATTTATATCGATAATTGAAATTTTTACAAAAATTAAAAAAAATTTTTTTTAAATAATTAAATTTCGGAGAAGAATTTTATTATTTATGAAAATAATTGACATATTTTAAAGAGAATTTTTGAAAAAAATGTTAAAAATACCTAATTAACATTTTGCTATGAATTTTATTAAATTTTTAAAAATTTTATTCCGGATTGTTTGATATTAATGTATCTGTTGTCGAGAAATGTGATTTTTTTACAATTTTGACAATTTCGTGTTTCCTTTTTGTCTATTTTTCTAAAATTTCATGCGACTTTTTTCCGACTTTTTCGGAAATTTTATGCGCGACTTTTCGTGACTTTTGTTGTAAATTTATGCAATTAAAGCGACTTTTTTTTTGAGTCTTAAAGACGATCCGAGCCTTGGATTCGTAATCAGCGACTTCAAGAATCCCTTGATAACAATTTATACCAAAATCCGTTAATTATTAAAAATTTTGTCCGACATTTTTAATTTTGAAATACTAGGTTCGGATTTTACCCCAAAAAACCCCAAACATCATATTTCAGGCCAATTGGATCAATTTTTCATAAATTCGCCAGTCTTAATGGTGGCATTTTGAATTTTGAAAACCTAGGTTCAGATTCGTAATCAGTGGCCCCAAAAATCCCCTAGCATCATATTTCAGGCCAATTGGATCAATTTTCCATAAATTCATAAATAAAACTGTATTCACAATTTTGAATGTTGGAAAACTAAGTTCAGATTTGTAATCAGCGACTTCAAGACTCCCTTGATAAGAATTTATACCAAAATCCGTTAATTTTAAAAAATTTCCTCCATTTCGAATTTTAAAATGCTATAGGTTCAGATTCGTAATCAATGACCCCAAGAACCCCCGAGTGGGAAACATCAAATTTAAATCTCATCTAGAGGTTTCTGCCAATTTTTTTGAATTCTGACCTACTGTTGAGAATGGGTTGGATGAATAAGAGATACATGAATAAAACAAAATTAAAGAAAGAATTAAATTTACCTGTATGTACCAAATGATGTTTCTGCAGATGAGCCAGCTGCGTAAAACTTTTTGTGCAAACATTACATTTAAATGGTCGTTCCCCCGAATGCGTGCGAAGATGAACCTTAAGATTTGAGAGTTGTCCAAATGTTTTACAACACACATTACACTCGTAATGCATTTTACCATCCTTCTTCTTGAGTGGATAGGGCAATGATCGATAGCCCCTCGAACCCTGTGAATTTGGACTCAACGATCCACTTTGCGAGCAGGCATGATCGTCGGGCGAGAGACTGCCCGCCGGTGAATATCTATTGAGCCCCTGATTACCATGAATCGTCAAACCCGGATGATGACCCAGGTGCAGATTATGAGTGCCCGCAATTAGTTGATTACTGTCAATCTGCATTGTCGATGATGTTGGCAGTTGATGATTGTTATCGAGTCGCCTCTCGCGAGATTCATAGACACTTGTCGTTGGTGTCGGTGAATAAGGACTGCAATTTATTGACAGAGGTGTGACATTATGATGCAGGGAGTTTTGATGATAGAGTCCGTAGGAGTAGGACGATGGGGATTGAATCGGTGAGATTGGCGAGACACTTGGATTTGAGTTTAGATAAACTGTTGATTCAATTTGTCCGGATGTTGAGTTTGAGTAGTGGATTGCGCTGGTGGTTGTGGGTGAGGGACTTTTACTCCTTCGTTTTGGTAGTGCGGTCGAATTCGCTGATGTTATGATGGAACTGGAGAGAGTTGTGCTTGAATGTATGCCGGGACTGCTGGCTGTCGAATGAAGAACACTTGAATGGTTTATAAGGTCCCGGGAGTGGAGACTACTTCCGTTGTTATGAAGACTGCCATTACTCGAGTGCGGGATGTTAGAATGTAGGTTCCCGGTGCTCGAGTGTAAATTCCCGGTGGAGTGAATTGTTGGACTCGGAAGAATGCCACTACTTGGCGAACAATTTTCCGTTTGCATCGGAAGATTCGAACTTGAGTCGGGACTGCAGGGGAGAATGTTGCCGTAGCGATGGGACTTTTTGTAGGAGTAGGCCATTTCGGTGGGACTCGACGGCGGTGGGGTGACGGAATCAACTAGATGGTGTTGCTGATTGTTACTTGTATTGTTGTTGCTGTCCGTGGTGTTGTTCCTTAGGAGAATATTCTCGAGAATTGAACTCGAGGTTGTGATATAAGTTCGTCCGGATAGTTGGTTTAATTTTGGTTCGGCCTCGTAGAACGGTTTGGAACTCTTCTCAATTAATTCGTCGTCAGATAGGTTCGATTTTTGGTTTATGGGCGAGAGGGGTTTTTGAATTTGCAATTCAGGCGAGGCTGCTCTACTCGACAGTTCATCCTTCTCCTTCACCTGATCAAGATTCTTCGTCGATTGAAAGTTATTGTAAGTCTTACTGATCTTAATCTTCACTTTTCGATATTCGTTCTTGACGGTGGTCGAATCATGCTTAAGAATTTCGGTTCCTGCAGAATTACGCTCTTTGGCGTTTTTCGAAAAATCGAGGACATAATTCTCCGAGTCTGATTCACTGCTCTCTTCGGGTGGTGTTAGAATTTCGTCGTGATAGCCATTCGAGTGGTAACCTTCGTCCGACCTTACGGAACCATCGGTGGGGGTCATTTGCGAACGCCTTTCGTATATCGTCGAATCCTTGAGGGGTGACACGATCTCCACCGTTGGGGGAATTTCCGTCGACTGTTGAACCTGTTGCCCTGAAATCACAAATATTTTTGTAAATTTGTTTGAAGAGTTTGGTTTGTCCAAAAGAAAAGTCACAACTTACTTATTCGTTGAAGCATCTGTTCGCCATTGTCCGGATAATTTAGCCTCTCGGCGAATTCCCGACAATACCAGACCAACAATTCCTGATTTGGTAATATTGGTTTGATTGTGTAAAAATAGATATTCATTTGATACTGGCATGCAATTAAATTTTGCGATTCCGATGAATACGCCGGGTTCACGTATCTCATCCAATTTGATTTTTGAACATCAAAACCGTCGATGTAATAGAACAATTCGTTGTTCTTGTATATCTGAAAGGAAAAGAATTTTTTTTTATTAGAAAAGGAAATGAAGATTATTGAAAATTAAATTCTCGCTTATATCGAATTGATAAGTTATGAGATGTCTGCTTCTTGCTTTTCGTTTTAAGTACCGTTCGAGAAACCAGTTTTGCCTCGAAGGTTCTTTTTCAGATTTTTTTTCTATAACTATTTTTTTTAAAATGCGACTAGGAAAGATAAGCATTGCTTAGGGACCAAGTCTCTGATTTATGGCTTTGAAGAGGATGGTTCACTTTCAAAAAAAAAGAAAAAAAAGCTGATGTAATGGTAATTGCAAAATCTTTGATAGGATGATGATTCTTCACCCAACGGCAAATTCATTTCCATTTTAATATTTCAGGGAGAACGGGAGGAATTAAAAGATTTCTTCTCTATTTTTACATTCTCATTTTTTTCAAATAAGTTATTTAAATATAATCGATCACAAAATTTGATCAATTTAGAAAAATTGCCAGAAAACTTACCCTCCAGAAATATTTTCGATTCGCATCAGCTGGCACCGAATCCTTGGTGTATTTTTGACCGATCAACGGTCCGAATCGGGTCCCCTTGGGAATGTAACTCGTACTCCAAACTCCCACCGCCTGGAAAATGAAAATTAGACGCATAAAAATTGTGATTCACTTCAATTTTTTTTTTTCAAATGCTTCGAATTGATTACTCCAAATCAACTATTTCAAATAATTTTTCGAAAGTTTTTCTAAAATTCAATTATTTAAATATAAAAACTCAATTTTTTATAATAATTATAACTGTCTATGTATTTTTCTTATAAGTTATTAAAATATTATTTTTTTAAAAAATAAATAAAAATAAATATATATTTAAATATATTTTTAAATTATAATAAAGAAATTCTTACAATTAATTTTTTAAATAATATTTTAAAATAATTTTTTATTTACTTTGTTCGAAGATAATTGAATCTTAAAACATTTATGATAAAACAGTTCTAAGAATTAGTTTTCAAGAAAAATATTTTAATGTCATCATCATCAGGTTAAGCCTAAATAAACAAACAATAAAAAAAAATTAAAAATTAATTTTTCCAAAATGTCAAATATTTTCAAAGATTTTCCTCAATTCAATGAATTTTAATATCTCTTTTAATAAAAGTTTCCAAAAGAATTCAATTATTTAAAAAAAAAAAATTTGATAAAATTCTACGCAAACATTTAATTATTTTCATAAATAATAATAATTTCACAGAAATTCAATTATTTACAAATTTTTATTGTAAATTTCTTCGCAATAATTCCATTATTTTTAAAAATTATAACATTTTTTACATTCAATTATTTTCATGAATAATAAATTTCTTTTCAGAAATTCAATTATGTAGTTTCAAAAGTATAATAAAATTCTTCTCACAAAATTTAATTATTTATTTATTATGTTTAAAATTTTTTAAAAATTCTCTTATCTTTATAAATAATAAAATTCTTCTCCAAAATTCAATTATTTTCATAAATAATAAAATTATTTTTAGGAATTCAATTATTTTAAAAATTTTTAATAAAATTCAATTATTTTCATAAATAATAAAATTATTTTTAGGAATTCATTTATTTTCTACAATTTTCAACTAAATTTCATTTTCAAATCAATTATTTCAAATAATTTTCCGAAAGTTCTTCTAAAATTGAATTATTTAAATAAAAATTTAAATTTTTTTTAATAATTTGCAACTGTCCATGTATTTTTCTTAAGTTATTAAAGTATTATATTTTAGAAAAAAAATTATTGTAAAGAAAGTCTTACAATTAATTTTTTTAAAATATTTAAAAATAATTTTTTTATTTACTTTGTTCGAAAATAATTGAATTTTAAAAAAATTATGATAAAACAATTATCCCAATTCTAAGAACTAGTTTTCAAAAAAATATTTTAATGTAATTTTTGGAAAATAATTGGATTTTTTAAAAAAAAATTTTGTATATAATTGAAAAATAAAAATTAATTTTGTTGATGAATTTTAATTAAAAATTTTTAACATAATATGCCCATAAATAAAAAACGAGTTAATAAGGACAATAATTGGAAATTGGAGAAGTCAATAAACTGAGATGTAAACAACATGTGACAATGACAATATTTTTTTTCGAGAAAAATTCAATCATGAATTTAGTTTTCTTATTCGGGGAGAATAAATTTTATTTTTAAAATATCGTCTTTTTTATTAATATTGTATTATTAATTTTTAGATGAAGCATTTCAGAAAAACAATAATGTTTATTAAAATTTTTCTAATTTTCATTAGATTTTGTCTCTAATACTTACATTAGGAGCTTGCGATGATTTGAGCACCAAATTTCTTGGCAATGATGCTTCGGCTCGATTTGAATCGGTTGGTGATCCTGCAACATCGGGTACAAGATAAACGGCATGTTGCTCGAATTCCTCCTCCCGAAGGGTCGCATGATCCCATTCGCTAGCCTCCATTCTTCAACTGAAAACCAAAAAAAATTTAAAATTTTATTTTTCATAATTTTCCATAATTTTTTTTTTTAAATTGATTTTTGGTGCATGAAAAGTTTTACATCAAATTTCTTGGAAATTTGCAAAAAAAAGTCGGAATATATTAATTTGCGGCTTTTAAGAGAATGCGAATTTTGTGAATGTTACACACACACACACATATACACAGAGTTGCATTGCTTATAACGGTATCCAAATTGCGACTCAATCATTCTTCGTTCTCCACACATCATCAATTCGCCTTTCTCTCGTTTAAAGAAAATTCAGCCTACAAAATTTTATTAACTCCAAACACTTTTCTCTCCGCAAAGCAGAATTTCTCCTCTCTCAATATATATCTTTTCGATTACTATTCGTCTTCGACCAAAAAATTATTAAAAAAAAAAAATTTCTTCCTTTTTTGGAGAATTTTTTTTCAAAAAATTTTTTTTTCATTCAAAAATTTAATTGTATCATGGAAAGAATGAAATAAATAAAATAAAAATGAATTTAATCCATGCCGAGAAGTTTTTGAAAAATACGAGCTTTTTTTCTGTATTTTTAATAAAAAATTGGATAGAATTTTAACAAAATATTTTTTTGGAAATATTGGGGTAGAATAAAAAAATACATTGCGCGAAACGTGGAATTTTTCTGCGACTATCGGTCGATCGAGAGGGAAGCTACCCTCGCTGGTGAAATTCAACTTCGCTGGTGCAGCGGTGCACGCTTTAACACCGCGAAAGTGAAACCCGTCCATGCATTGATCGACTGCATACGGGGGGAGGAAGAGGGATACAAACTCCGTCGTCTTTCACCCTCGTTCCTCACCCTTTCATTCGTCACTCAATTCTTTTTTTTTCTCCATCTTCCAGTCACGAAAATCCCTCCCCCTCTTGACAATTTTCCTTCTTTTCAATTTTCCCTCTTGGAAAAAGCGCCCCTAAGTGAAAATTGAATTTTTCACTTTCAAAATTGATTTTCCGCGGAATGGGCGTTTTTCGTGTTATATTCAAAAGAACCAAAGTGAACGTACCAAAAATAATTTTTTTTGTCCCTTTTTTTTTGACAGATTGGTCCCTTTCTGGAGGGTGGGATGGAGTAACGGGGGTTTATGTGATCCTGTAATTTTTCAATGACACTGAATCCAACTTCATATTATCACTCCACTTATTACGAGTCCAAAATTGAAACTTTTTTTGTAAAATTGTCCTGATTTTAATCAACATTTATTCGGGCGGGACGAGGGATCGATCCGAACGACTTTCCGAGTTTATCGATTATCAGGACATCAAAAGGGCTTTTCGGTGTGGAGAAAAAAGAAAAGGGATTGTTTTAATCCCTTTTTGAATATAGTTGACGATTTTTTGATATTTCCGACACACAATGAAATGAGAAAAAAATAAAAAAAAAATGAGTGAAATTGTCGAAAGGGAAATTTGTTTATATGGGAGTGGGATGATTTTTTTTTTTTTTTTTTTTTAGGTGGAAGAAAGAAGGAGGGTTGAAATTTAGGATTTGTGAATTAAAATTGAAAAAGAATAGTTTTTTTTGTGTTTATATTGTTGTAATGACGCTGTGAGGTGATGAGAGGAGGGTGTGTATGAAATTTTCGTAAACAATGAAACAGCGCACGAGGGTGTACGTCGCGGCTCGCGAATGGCACAGTGAAACTCGGGTAGACCTGACCTAGCCCAACGCGAGGCGGCTTGGCCGACGGTCTCTCTATACACTCGTTTGTATTGGTGGATATAGGCGCCAGCTTGTACACGCGCCGTGCAAAGCCAGCAGACAGAGCCAGAACCCGAAGGTGGTGCATTTCTCGTGCGCTGCGCTTTCGATCGACCCGTTGCCAGAGGCTCCCTCCCTTCCTCTCACTCACTCACTCACACTCTTTCTCCCTCATTTCCTCTTTCATTTTCCTCCTTTCTCTCCCACCTTTTACTTCCACTATGCTTTTTTTCTTTCTCTCTTTCCTTATACTCTTTTCTTCTTTAAAAAAAAATTTTCAAGCCGATCTGATATTTCACCGAGACTTTAAGGATAGAAAAATTCTACTTGAAAAAATTTACCATTTTAAAATGGTAAATTTTTTTTATTTTCAGTTATATTTTAATATTTTACTCAATATTTTTTTCCGCAGGTTTCCACTTTCTGCTCGGATTGAGAATAATTCGGAGATGCGGTTCATTTGCGCAGGCGCGAGTTGACGTCACAGTAATGGCGTACATACGAGACGAGCTGATGACACTAATATAAGATCTTGAATCTTGTAAAGATTGTCATTTGGTAAGGAACAGAAAAAAAGGAATTTAAATATAATCCACCACGTTATTAAATTGTTTACTTGAAAATTCAAGAATACGAACTTTACGGACCAAAAATGAAAAATTAGGGACCAATTACTAACAAAAATATAATCAGTCCGAGTCAAATAAGAGAACATTTCACTTAAAACGATAAATTAAATTTTTCATAATTTAATTATAATTTAATTTATAATTTTGATTAATAATTTTATAATAATTTAATTTATAATTTTGATTAATAATTTTATAATAAAGTTGACCGAGTAATAAAATCATTTTTTGGCACGCTCCAAAAAAAGGTAACTAAGAAATAAAAAATTTGAGGTTAGGTTTTTAATTTTTTTTTAGTAAAAATACAGAAAGAGAATCAATTATTCATCTTTAAGTCTTCATTATAAATACAAGAATTTTTAACTAAACTTCTTCTTAATAAATCGATTATTTTTTTATAATAATTTTCGAAAAAGTTCTCTTTCTTTGACAATTTTCAAATCCATTTGTTTACAATATTCAATTTTACGAAATTTCAATTATTCGTTAATTCTTCATTTAAGTAAATAATAGAAAATAAAAACATAAAATAATATTTTTAAAAAATTAAACTAAACTTTTTGAAAAACTAATTTTAAAAACTCAATTATTTTTCAAGATTCACACTCTTAGATTGAATCAGTCAAATTTGACTGATTCTCAGTCAAAAATGACTGATTCAATCAGTCCAGACCCGCTCACTGGCGGACCAGTCCGTTTGACTGATTCAAACCAATCATATACTGTTATTGATTGAATCAGTCAAATACACAGAAGAAATCAGTTGTTTTGAATGATAGAAATTGTTGAATCTATTATTTCATTCAATTGTTTGTATTATTTAAATCATTAACTTTTATTGAAATTTCAATAATTTTTGTCATTTAAATCAGTAATTTTGACTGTCTCAAATAATGATTTTTATTGATGAAATTAATAAAATCTACTGTTTGTATAGTTTAATTTGACTGATAGCATCAGTCAATGCTAATGAAAAAAGCAGTTGTTATGAATGATAGAAATTGTAAATTTAATTAATTTAATAAGTTATTATCATTATTTACATAATTCATTTTCATCAAAATATCAATTATATTCACTTTTTAAAATTAGTTATTGTCACTAAAGAAAATAATGATTTTTATTGATAAAATAATAAACTTTATTGTTTAAATCAATTATTTTAATTATACTTAACAATAATTTATTTTCATGAAAGTAATCATTTTTATTTTCAAAATCCGTTATTTTTATCAAATTTAAGAATAAATTTTATCAATAAATTTATGAAGTTTTACTGATTTGTAAATTGGATTAATTAATCGATCAATGGTTTCCACTGCACTTAAAAATTTTTTTTATTAATAATAAAAGCATAGGTAACAAAAATTATTATTGTAACAATATTTATTAAATAAAATAAAATATAAATTAAATAAATATAAATTTTTATTGTTTAAAATAATTATTCTAATTGAAGTTATTAATGATTATTATTGATATAATAGCAAATTTCATTGTTCAAATTGATTATTTTTAATAATATTACATTAATTCAATGACTAATTTATTAAAATATTTAATAATTTTAATATAAGGTGTGCAAGGTTTCAAAACTCTTAAACAAATTTTTAAAACATTGTTTATTGAACAAAAATTAGATAAGTAACTGAAATTTGTTTAATGCACAAAAATTGTTATATAACAATCATAAATAAGTAAAGACAACTAAATTATTTGAAAGCACTACCACTCAATTTTGCAAAATTATAAATTAATTTTGTCTATACAATTCTTAAGTACCGTTCTAAAATATTTAACTCCAATCAGTTGGAATTAAATACTATTGAATCACTTCACAATCACTTCAGAATATTACTATCACTATATATTGAACAACTTTGAATAATCAGGATGAAAAGAAGAAATATCAGTCATTAGTCAATTACTAAAACTTAAAATATTTTTCTTACTCGCGGCGTCAGTTTTCCTCATGCCAAAGCTGAAGAGCAACTGACGCTTCAAAGCATCTTGAAAGACTTTTTAAAGAAAATGTATGAAATTTTCGTATACTTCCATCTTATATTTAAGTACAAAAAAATTTCACAAACTTTCTACCTAAATAAATTCATAAGAAAAAAAGGGTCCCGAAAAAGTCATAAAACACGGACCTATTGTAACGAGAAACCTATAGTTCGACATCCTAAGACAAACCAGATGTGGCAAACCTTTTGAAACGAAGGAATTCTTTCAAATATTTTATTTTCGAATAGTATATAATATAAACTACAAATATTTTACAAAACATAACTATTTACAGCAATGTATTTTATTAGTAAAAGAAAAATAGTTGCTTGTATTTTTTTGTTTAAAAAAAGAAAGTTTTTGATTTTTAATAAACAATATATTTGTTAAAAAATCATAATAATATATCATTTAATGTAAAAATTGTCAACAAATATATTTATATTAAGAAATAATGTTATTTTGTCTATATTGCAGATAAATATAATTTATTTGCATATTTAAAAAAAACAGGTGTATTTGTTAAAATGACTGATCTAAGTCAGTTAAAATAATCAACAGACAAATCAGTTAAATGAAATGACTGGTTTACAGTTAAATTCAGTGACTGATTGAATCAGTGACAATA